ATGTCCAACACAAAGGCGGGGGGTTCTCTCCGTCCCATATCCTGCTTCAAATGGTGATACTTGGTAGTAAAGGGACCCTTTTTCATTTCAGACAAAAAATGTGCCTCATATTTTCGTCTATTCCATCTCAGAGATTTTCATTGACATCAGTTTTACAACGCTTTGCAGCACATTCCTCCACTAAGAGCCTCTTAACTTACCCTGCTCTGTGCCACTCCCATTCTCTGCACAGATAGTGTGATGTGGATGTACCCCTCTGATATCAGGGTCATAGTTGAGGGGTCATGGGTCGTTGCTGGGACAGAGGCCGCTACTAGACGGATAAGCTTGGATTTGTTGCTGGTTGTGTATTTGGCTTTGCTGAGCTGCAGATAGAAGCCTTCCTGTTGGATTTTTAAAGAATGTGTGAAAAGGTACCAATCTAAAACATCCGCCAACAAAGCAATTTAAAAAATGCAAGTTCATTAAATTTGATGGAAAGTAGAACTCCGAAAAGAATGCATAACATTTTTACAAAGAAACTTATGTCAAACAGTCCACTTACACACAAGGCTTCCTCATTTATGCCAAGGCAGACTGTTTTGGAATGATTTCCAGAGGAAAAAATTCCAACTTTCTTACAGCCTGGGCGAAATCCTTGGAAAAGGTATAGATATAGGTACAGCTGTTCACTATTAATGGAAGAATACTGATGTGTAGATGGATTGCTCCAAATGGCTGGGTACCAGGGAAACAGTCAATGCTATTGGCTATAACGGGCCATGTCAGGAATGGGCTTCCAAAGCTACGGCTGTCTTTGTCAGCATGTGTTCATATATTTCCAAACAGCAGTGCCCTAAACATAACTTGCTCTAAACACAAGATTCAGATGGAAGCCTCAGTGAGTGAATCTTCAAATACAGAATCCAAACCTTGAATCGCTGTGGGGCTACCGTCTCTCCTCTCGGCAGACACAACAGCTTACTGCCGTCCTCAATCACGTCGATATCCACATCTGTCTCGTTGACCATTAAGCACCACGGCAACACATCCACCATGATGGTGTTCAGGTAGGGACTCAGTCGTGTCGTCATCACCTGCAGGTCGGTGTTTGGTTTGTACCCGGCATCGGCACCAGGGACATTCTGAAGGGCTGATGGGACTTCAGTGTTACGGGGTGTGCTGTTCAAGTATTTTGAGCTGAAAAAAGTTTCATTTGATGGCAAGTCACTGTAGGATTCGCAACTGATGCCGTCTCTAAGGCAATGAGATGAGAACAAGGTTAGTTCTTTGCATGCAATCACGTGCATAAAACACATATTTAAATGGTTGCTGAGCTCACTGTTCTTGCATGACCAAAATGTGTTAGAAACTGTTAAGCAAGACGGTCATCCACCCACTATTCTTTGGTAAGGAATAAATATCTATGCCCACAATGGAACACCCCTCAAATAACCCCAAACTCACAGCCCCAACACGAGGTTTCAAGCAACACTACCTATATAACACAGGGTACCTTTAAACAGGAGTACGTCTTTGATAAAATTCAAACCCTTAAACTAGTTCACTGAAATAGTTCGACTCTTCAACTATAAGTAATAAGTTTCACTCAAAAATAAACAGGGTCCGTTTAACCAATCTCAGATTAACTTTGCTTCACTGCTTTTGCTAAATTGACAAACCAAAATATTTGTACACCTTCAATACAGACTGGACTGCTTTTTTCACCTATCATAGTCAACATGGTTGAAGGGCCACGCCTCTGTGAGGTTAGGATGCTGACAGTGCTTAGTGATGGTTTCCAGGGTAACTGGGAAGGCATCCTCACTGTCTGTGGACAGCCCCAGGCTGAGCTGATCGATCGTGTCCGTGTTGATGGTAATAGGTGGGTTGGATGGACTTGATTGGGGACTGGAAATAAAAACGTTACTTTGCTTACCACAGGACATATATTTCCTACATTGTATAAAACAGTCTTTCCGAATTACTAAAGCAATTTCAAACTAGTTCATCATAAACGTGTACATTTCTTCTTTTCACTTGGCTATTAACTAGGAAAGGTTAACCTACCCAAGTTGGAATGTGAGGCTGTGCCAGGTGTTAGATGCAAACTGGTACATTGACTGGCTAGACCCTCGACCTTTGACCTGAATAACCTTGAAGTCAGGAGGCTTGGTCGACTCTATGTTCATGATTGTCGGCCAGGGGAGATGAGAGCGGACGATAAACAAAGGGCTGAGCAGAACCTGCAAATTGATCAAGAAGTTCAGACAATGTCTTTTACTCAGTAAATATGTAAAAAGTTGGTTAAACAACAATACAATGGAAGGTTCAATCATCAGAGTGACCCCTTTTTTTTCTTTTTTTTTAAACACACGTTAACACGTTAACCCTAACACTCCTCAGTCCTCCAACAGGTGAAGGATTGAGGAGGGTTAGGGTTAAAGAACAACATTTAGGTAAAGGGTGAAGCATAGATTTGCTTTTGTACCCTAACCCACTTCACATATATACTAAGCTCATATTGATACTTACCAGTCTTTGTGCATGGTTTTCATGTTCCTCTTCAAAGATGCGACACCACATGAAGTAATTCACACCATCTTGGTCAGAAACCTTCAAACACAGACATATATTTGTTTGAAACAGCTTTTCTTAATTTCAACACAACATTCTGTCTTTCACCAAAGGAAGTTTTACTCACAGAAGTCAAAGCAATCTGTAAATTTAGTCTGTGTAAAACAGGAGCTAAATGAATCCAGATTTCGGGAAAACTGACCATACCTAAACAAATATGACATACCTTAAGAACAGACTGCTCACGACTCATCTCTCCGCTAGTAGCAAACTGTTCTGACCAATCACCACCTTCCTTGTTGAGCTTTACTCTCACACCAATGATGTCACTGCTACTGCAGGTTAAGGAAGGAAGGCTGCTATTGGCTAGCAGGCTGTAGAAGCGTTTGGAGTCAATTACCTGACTACCAATTCTGGCCACCTGGATGAGTTGTATCTCAAGGTCCAGGTTCAGGGCATTGGTGAAGAAGTGTTGGCCACAAAAAATCACCTAGAAACAGAGGGGAATTTTTTTCACTTTAAATCCGTCTGCAGCAAACTTTGGACTCAACTGTCCTTGTCTTTCAATTCATCTTTTCTGGTCATTCTCTCACTATGAGCCTCGAGCTAGACCAAGAGAGGTTGCACGTCTCTCGGCAACAGAGGCTCTCTGGTTTATGAAAGACTATGAAAAGCACACATTACAGTCGCATCACTACCAACACAATGAACACTCTCAATCAACACGACTCTTTTCAAAAGATGAGGGGGTGCTTCTGTTCGAGGTGGATACTTATTTATTTCTTGACAGGAATTATTGTTTGATGGAAGTCTTATGCTATTTTTTGAAAGATGCAAAAAAGCATCAGTGCTGCCTTTACTGTAAGAACTAGTAATCTGTATCTACAAAAGATTTACCTGCCAAGGCCGTTTTCATTTCTTTGTAAAGTTTGCTACATATTAAATGCATCCAATAGTTTTCAAGATTCTTTGGGAAAGTTCATTTTTAAGGGGCATGAAGAGGTAGATTTTGTCCAATCAAAGCAATTACAAAGCAGGCTTCTGGGAGGAGGGGTGGCAGTCTGTCTATCATAATGTGTGAGTGTACATATCAATGTACTCATCTCTTACCTGTTTCTGTAGCGCTGATATTGTCTTGATCTTGATGAACAGCGTTGCAGTACGGTCTTTGTGCTGTAGCGAGCGGACAATCGTTCCTTCCTGGTCAAGACTGAAGGGTTCGGACCATCGCCAGTTTCTCCAGCCCTCAATGCAAACATGTAGTCCCTACATTGCAACCAATGCGATGCCAAGAGTCAAAGGTCGCCATCCAAAGTCAAAGTGTTACGATTCAAATTGAGTAGCATCAAAAACAGCGTCCCTTTACATCTCCAATTATTAAACCGAGGCGACATCCTATGAATGTGTCCTTCGGGGAGCAGGTATGGGTTCTGAAAAAACTGGTGGTTTGCACAAGGTACGAGGTTAATCAGAGGAAATAAGTGCTCTATCAAATGAGATACCTGGACCCACAATTGGTAGAATCCGGAAAATCTGAACCTACCTGTCTGTGGTGTTTGTGAGTTCTCCAGCTGTACTCATGGACTTTCCTGCTGGGCAAAACGATGGATTCGTCTGTGTGGACCTGGCCAAATCGCAGAGTTTCATCGGTGTCGTTGCAAATGGCGTAGTGGCAGAAAAGAAGGCGTTCCTTGTTGATTGAGTTGACCTGAAGATGGTCAAAAGACAAACAAATCTGTTCTGATTTACAAATATCCTAAGATCAGAGCCTGTGCAAAAAAATTGGATATTAAAATTTGTTTACACATAAGAAAAATCAAGGCCCTTTTCTATTAACCCCTTCACGCCATGATTATTTTGATTATTTGATTTTGTGGTATGCCCTGAATGGAGGGCTTTGTCCAGCAGCAGGCCCCATTGAACCAGCAGCTGCATGGTGAATAGACTGTATGTGTGGTATGCACTAATCCTCACACAATGGTGCGGTAGTAGCAGTCCTCCATATCGAAGGGGTTAAAAACAACGTGGAAGTTGTAAATACATAAAATGGTTACCTGGATACAAATGTCCCTTTCAAGAATGGGAGTTGAAAAAATAAATCTAGATTGCGAACTCTTTAAGCCTTCCAACTAAAGCATCTTCAAACCCACCTGGGCCAGGGCTTGAACAGCCATGTTGAGAGAATGCACCACTTGTTGACCTATGCTGACCTTGACTGACCCGAGATCAACATGACCTTCTACACTTTCCCTCCAGTTCAAATCCACGGTTGCAGAGGTCTTCGTGGGATGCAGCAGTGTTGCCATGGTGAGGTTTCGGTAGGTTAGGACGTCACACTGGACAGTGGTCGCCATCTATAATATGTCCGCATTACTGTAGTTTATTTCACCTGTCGCTTCATTTTGCTACTGCATTTACACAACTGTCGTCAAGAAAAATGACCTCAAATGTCCTTGCTAAGTCTAAATACATGTACATTTCTTGGACATGTGCAATTCAAGAAAAGGGCAGAGAATGGGCAAACACTGACCTGCACATGGGTGTTGACAAGGGCAGATGACCAATGATTGAGAAACAAGTCAGATGAGTCCAGTCGAATGACCATAATTTCTTGGTCAGCAGGAGAAAGGTTGTCCGACACAAAAGGTTCCAGCCACTTGGGTTGTGCTACACAATAAATGTAAAAGTTGGTTGCAATGAGGCACCGGTAATTTGAGCTAGGTTTGACATTAAAAAAGGAAAGGGGAATGATAAGCCTCAGCCCCTCAATCCTGTAGATCTTAGAAATTAAATATGTATTTGCTGATTAAGTCCACTGAGTTTCTCCTCAGAGGATGGGCAATTGAAGTTCTTCTGAGATGAAAATGCATCAGGCAAATTTTCAGTACGAGGGTTCTCAAAACTTGTGGTGCACTAAAACGTTAATTCAAGTGAGTTAGTTTCTCTGTCAATAAAACACAGGAGGCACTACGGAAGGCATCAATGACAAAATTTGTGTTGCCGAGATGGAAGTAGACTGCTTAAAACTCGCTGTAAGACCCTGTTGTGCAGGTAGTAGATGACAACATTCAGCCAGCAATTTGACAAGAACAGGGGATCTGTGATCTTGCCAATTAAGGAGCTTCTGTACATCATGATGTCCTCCTGTAATGCCTGGACCAATTATCTGACCATATGGAGGAGATCCAGCAGACCCCAAGAGTGCCTGCAATGATGATGATAGTGGTTGCTAATCGGTCGCTCATGCGATGAAGTATCCACTGACAAAAATGACCACTGCCTGCTTAATTTTCGGCAGCTATACGTAGAGCATGGTGGCGTGAAACAACAGAAATATGTGCATATAGGCCAAATAGTGTGATAAGGACAAGTAGAAGGAAAGTCACATTGAAGTAAAATCTCCCATCAGCTGACAGCCAAATGCATAATTTCAGCCCCTTCTGTACAACAATACTGGTATCAAAATCCTGTACACCAACATTCCCCATGCAGTACCCAAAATCCAGACAAAACACAGAGTGACTTTTGACCTAAAACATTCATAATCATAGGGTAATGCAGGGACCGGGTGATGGCAATGTTACCATCCAAGGTGAGAAGGCTTAATGAGAGTATGCTTTGAGTTTGGAAGAAGAACTGCAATGCGTCCCAAGCAGCACACACAAAATCCCCCAGCATCCAAGTCTTGGCAATTGCTTCTGGGAGTTGAAGAATGAAGCACAACCCAGCAAACAGATCGGAGAAGGTGAGAAAAGTCACAAACTTCTTTGTGGTGTGATCAAGGTTGACCACACGTCGAAGTGTGAGAAGCATCACTGAATTAAGGACAAAGCTCAGACACATCATAAGCACCTCCAGAATGATAACAAACATAGCCAAGGCAACTTGTGAGATTTCAGGCTCAACTATTAGATGTAGAGTTGACATCAACTCCTGGAGTCAGAGTAGGAACCATATTCAATGAAACTGTGATCGCGTCTCACTGTCTGCCTTGGACCTTGTGAAAGCTTCCAGCCTTAAGACTGCTACATGCACATACACCAATCCAATAAGCCTTTTGCGAGTTAACTTTGACCCAAATCTGGTACACTGAGTTACTCAAATTCACATGAACATGACAATTTGAATTCTCCATACTAAAACCACTGTTGCTATACCTCGTGATTTGGGGCAAGCTTGTGCTTGGTTATATACGAAATGCCTGGCAACAATACACTGTTCTCATCAATGGATAAGAAGGGCACAGAGGAACCGGTCCATTCCAGAGATGGTGGTCGCTATAAAGCTTGCCTTGAATCATGAGGTATAGCAACAGTGTCTTTCGTCCAGGGAATTTAAATCGCTATGTTTATGTGCAATCAGATAACTAAGTGTACCAGGTTTTATTAAAGTTTAACTCGTAAATGGCTTATTAACCCTAACCCCCTAGGGTGTATGTAAAATCGTATTGAAATTGGAGGATTTGGGACTGTTAGGGTTAACCACTTGCTGCCAGGGGACCCGTTTTCGAGCACGTAGGCTTTATACACGGAGCCGGGGAACCCGAAATGGGACAAAGGGAACTGGGCCTTGTAACAAAAGACCGTACTCTGAACAAGAGACCAGGCTGCTGGGCATTACCGCCATTTTTCACTCTCAATAGTTGAGATAATCCAGCTTTGTTTGGACACAGTCTACATGGTTTGGGGCATTCAGAGCGAGCGGATTACCACCAGGGACAAAAGCACTCCACCACCACATGTGGAAAGCCACACAGCACCGCTGCATGCTAATCTGGCCCCTATTGAAAAGAGGTCAGCAGTGCACTGTGCCAGGTTCGTGAACAAAAGACAGTTGTATAACACCGCACAATCTGGGCTCTGTTTTCAAGGCTGCAGGCCTGGCTGAAATACAGAGAGTCTTTTACCCATGATGTCTCTGGAGCTACTCCCTGAATGTGTATACAGCAATGCCAAATAAGGTTCAAAATGATGCCATTTGTCAACCTCTTTGCTTTTGCATTATAAACGTCTGATGGTGTTTCTGTCAACTATTCATCCAACCAGGTTATAAGCCATGCATGCCTAATTAACATCGCCTGACAAGATTAATTAGATGCTATTGTCTTTTCAAATTCAGTCTGAACTGAAACGGATCATAAATTGGAGGTACTAGGATTGCATCTACTACTGCAATCATAATTCACACACATTTTGAAAAGACTATGGATTTATGGAAATGCTGAAGAGGTCGGTGGGTATCAATGATACACTCAATTTATTCTGATTCGTTCAAAAACACTTCCCTTGAATCCCTGTGTTGGACATTTGACATTTAACGCTGTTGCCCACACGAGGCTAGAGTGTTTAACCTTCAAACCCACAAAGCAACCTTTAAAATCTGTGCTAACTTCTAAAACATCAATTTGAAACTGACAAGATTCTACTTTTTGACGAGCATATGCAACAGAATTTAAAATTGGAATCCTTTTCCCCCAAGTGGCCTCTATTTTAATCAGAACCTCTTGCAGGGTCATCACTATTAATTCTCATTGTAGAAAATTCAAGCCAGAAAATTCAACCCCTTAATGCTGCGATTCTTTTGACCGCGACTGCTGGGCTGCGGTGTGCCCAGTATGCAAAGCCCTGTCTAGCAGCAGGCCCATATTGAAACCGTAGGTGCATGATGAATAGAATGTATGTGTGGTATGCACTAATCCTCATACAGAGCCACGGCTGTGGCTGTAGCAATCTGCCGGCGTTAAGGGGTTAACACTGGTGAAGTAAAGTTGCTGATGAAATGTCCACTGCCATCTGCCACTGAAGTACAGTAGGGCCAACACCAAACTCACACGTGATCTTGCAACAGCATGTGGTACAGTGTGGTGCTACTGTCCTTAAATCAACGTGTGGAGCTCCGTTGCATGCACGTTTCCACTACAGGTGCCGCACACTACACTTGGGGCCCCATCCAATTTACTTGGCTACAGCCAGTATAACACACACACATCTGGGGAAATAGCTAAGCTGCTGGCCAATGGCTTCCATAGGGGCACACATTATTTCCCGCATAAGCCAAGAAATCTGGCACGGCTTGGCGCTGTATATAAGTAACTAGAGCAGATAACAGTGAAAGACGAATAAAACAAATACATGTAGAGAGACCAACCTTTGCCAAGCGTGTCTGTGTGGTGGGCTAGCCTGACTTCGACGCATTCCATCTTGAATCCTAACGAGAGACCAGGCAGAAGGTGAGCCGAGAAGCTGGAATCCACCCTCATGGAAGCAGCTAAGGCTGTTGGAGATATGATCAGGCCTGGGTGATCCCGAAGGGACAATGGCTCCTCGTCGCTAAAAAAAGACAAAGAAAAAAAACCCACGTATTTGATGGGAACCAGTTGGAGGTATCATAAATTAGCTAACATTTTAACTGGTAACCAGTAACACAGGCAGACGTTAGAACACTGACTCTGGAATAAATAAACGTAAAAGAATGACAGATACACAAATTATTTTCTCTTTATAATGAAAAGGTGATTAAGGAAACTCCAAAAAAGATTTCATCGGGAACTGAGGATCTCATGACCACGATGACCACGTCCTAGCCATTCTGTTCACCTGTCTTTGGCCACGCTGTTGAGCAGGACTCTCCAAAGTGATGCCACAGCATGCCTGGATGCCTTGTCAGATGATCCGGGCAAATTGAGATGATAAGAGTGGACCTCTGAGACATACATTTGTCGGTAGACACAGAAGTCTTGCCTGAGATCATCCCAGTACTCAAGTGTGCATGGTACCTGGAACCAATGTAAGTGATTCCATCATTTCAACTGAGTGCATGAAGTTCAATGACTGAAGGAACCTCAGAAACTAAGACAGAAGATGGCAAAGACACCCCACCCTGCCCTCAAAAAGGATATTGCGAAAAAAGTATAATAATGGAGTGCGTGGAAACCAAATGTTGGCCTAAGTGGGATTTGAACCTAGGACACAGTGGTGGAAGTTGAAGAAAGCAGCACTTGATCAACCTTTTTCCTGTCAATCAAATTTTGAGTTGTCTTTTATTTCTGTGACCACTTAAGCAATTTCTCTGATTGAATTCCTTGCAGGGGTCGGACATTTTTTCAGTCTGCCAACACTTCATTTCCACTGTATTACCAGAAAGCACTGACCTCTTCTTCTGCTGTGAGATCACTGTCAGCGGCACCAGCCTGATGCAGAGGTATCGGTGTAACAGACACGTGAGTCAGGATCCTAGACTCGGGGTAACACCAGGTCATAGACCCCCAATGACCTTTGGTGCTGTCTTCCAGGGGGAGTGAAGTGAAGACAATTTCATTGGGCTTTGGGGTAAGACCAACTCCATCTAACAAAAGAATGAAACAGTAAAAGCAAGTTGAATATATGACACAAAGTACTCATTCCAAAAACCAAATCAGAAAACGGGAACCTTTTCAGGTGAAGGAGTATGTTGACTTTAGATCTGACCTCGATCATTGACATAGTGGAACGTCCCTGCTCTCAAATCGTCCTTGTAATGCCGGTCTGGCTGCTGAGATATCACATCCTGAGGAAGGCTCCTCCGGAAGGCTGGTGCATGTTGGGATGTGCTTGGTTTCTTGGCTTCCGCAGATGCCTGCTCCTTACAAAATACAGAAATATGATGAAAGTGACCTTCAGTATACATGTAGGTGTTGGTTTGTGGATACATGTTATATCTAAATAGACAAATATTAAATATTCATATTATGATAATTGGAAAAGGAAGACGGTCCCAACATCAGTGCATAACTATGGAAACCACTATTTTGGTTAGTGAATAAGTAAATATTGACCTTAAGAAGTGAAATATTTGACTGTTTTACCGCTCCCTGTTGGGTGAAATATTCGGCCACATGTTGCTGCATCAGTGTGACACAGTTCAAATGTTCCTGACCCAGGAACACAGTCACATGACCCAAGCTGACTCCAGCTGACATATGACTCAATGACAAATCTTCGACATGACTGCCAGGGCCAAACAAGTGACCCTTAGTATCTATGATCAGGTTGAATGGACCAATCAAAGGTCTCGTCTTGTGGCGGATTGACGTCTTCACAAGCAGCTGTTCCACTTGGAGTTTTCCACGAATTTCTGAGATGATCCCTAATATAAAAGAATTTACAAAATATCACTTTACAGTTGAACCAAAATGGAAAGACTGAGGTCACGTAAAAAGGGATGTAAGCAGATCATTTTAATTAATTCAACATACTTTTATTAGCATATAAACAAACAAACATCTTACCATTGTTGTTTTGTATATCGACAACACCTTGACAGTCACCAAAGGAGCAGACAACATGAGGATAATCAGGATTGGGTACTGTTGCCATAACAACCACAAATTCTGTCATCTCCAAGGAGATGCTTTTCACACGGGAGAGCGCATCCAGGGCATCGTCACGGGTGCTGTGATGTGATTGGCTGGATGAATGTCTGATGCCATGGGCAATGGCAGGGAGATTGTGGGGTAAAACTGGAAATTTGAAAGCAATAAGATAAAGACACAGTTTAAAATTTCGATCTCACTGACTGCTGTTTTTGGATTTGAGCCCTGGCTGAGTGTACCAGGAGAGATTTGAGGAGATTTAAAAATCTAGAAGAAAAAGTTGCTCTTGTAGTTCTTCATAAAAACATACCTCTTAAGTCCTTCAATCCTCCATCAGAATAGTTCAAATATTAAAATGTGTACACTATCTTAGCATGTTGATTTTTCCCAATGAAATCAAAATATATTGTCTTCCTAGTCACCACTTGACATTCAAGCAAAGAAAATTTCCAAGGATTTTTATGGCTTTCATCAACTGAGAGATCCAAGGCAATCTCCAAGGTGATCAATAACTTTATGAGTTATTTTGATCAACTGAACTTCAAAGCCACGGCTTATGAATTGTGATAAAACCTGAACGGTGCTAAAGAAATATCCGGTAAACGGAAAATGCATCGGCTAAATGCTGGTATACAGTGTTCGTTTAACCAATAAATGAAACAGCTTCCTCAAAAGGCTGGCTCTTGAAGACACACACAGTAAAGGGCAAGCATGTAAACAGGAGCTCCTGCTGCGCCCAAATGGTTTAATAACACCATCTATACCAACAGTTTAGGGGCACTCCATTGCATTTCAAGCATGAGTAACAATAAACAAATAAATGCTCTAAACCTCAATCTCAACAAGTCCTGCATTCACTTTCTTGCAAAAATTGGAAAATTACAGTTTGGATACAGCCATGCCAAACAGAAAATCTATATACCTTGAATACATTTTCTTTTTTTAAATCTGGAAATTTACAATATCCGGACAAATCTCATCCCCTGGTGTGTAAAAGGAGTTGCACATCACGAAACTTTCAAAGGTCGGTGAAGATCAACATACCTGGTATGAGAACAGCGCCATCTTGTGACACAGCATCTTTCTCAGCCACGGGTTCAGCTGATATCTGAGTGGACTTGGTTGGAATGAGACGTCTCACAAATGCAACTGTCTGGTCCAGTTTACTGAGGCTGAAACTCACTTTGGTAGGACGGGCAAATTTAAGCTTAGCACTGGCTGGACGTCAAAAAAAGTAGCACAAACAAATGAATACAGCTGAAGTTGTTAATGTGACTTCTCACAAAACCTTTTACAAAAGCCACATGACGTCATCAATTTTACAGAGTATACAAGTTTAATTAGAAGACAGAGGCAGATCTAGAAAAGCAAAAAAAATTTCCTCAGGAAAATGTACGGAGTATCTCTTTGGGGTTCTGAGAAAAGCATGGCATCACAAAGTTCTTGACAAAGCTTACCTTGGTTACTGAGGCAGTCAGTAAGAGTAAATGTCAGTAGAGCTGGTCGTACCCCAGTCTTAGGGTGTGGTTCCCCCGGACAAGTCTCCAACCAGGACACAGTGTAGTCAGCTGGGATGGGCAATGGCTGAGTGCTTGACAGCTCTGGGGAGAAATGACGTTCAAAACTGGCCAAATCGTAATAACCTTCAGACCTACATGAAGAGCAGTTTTGCAATGGACTTGAAAAAAAAAGCCTCCCTTCGTGGAAAACAGACGATAACAATGTTGGAGACTGTGGGACATATAATTGGTCAGTTTGGTAGATAAAAAGTTGTTTAATGACTACTATGGTTAATTTGTTTAACACTGAATATTTCAAAAATTTCAGGAAAAAGCCAAGAGCATACTAAGATGATGTAGAATCTATCATTTCAATTAAAAATGCCATCAAATAACTTAAGAAAGTTAAATTTTGACGACAAGTTTGTGACAACCAACTTACCTCTGGCAGCGTGCTTCACAGAGGCCCCCTCAACAGTGAAATCATACATAGTGAATTCAGCTCTTTGTTGGTAATGTTCCAGGGACAATATGGCAGCTGGTTGCATTACGGTCACGAACAAAAATGGCTGCAGCTCCATCTGCCTTTCCTTGATTGTTGGCAATGACTGGACAGTTTCCAACTCTTGGAACTGAGCCAAGTCTGAATTGGTAGTGTTGACGCAAGAGTAGAAGAACACGGACACCTTGCCTGCCGTGATTAAGGCATCCATCGGAGTAAAGCTCCCGGATTTGGAAATCTTTTTAGATTTCTGGGCTTGCGCTGAAGAAGAAGACGGAATCTTTTGCATTGGTGTCCCTTGCACTGCAACCTTGAGCTTCTGAACTCTGACCCCTCCTACCTGCGTGGAGTCCTCACTACCTAGCCCACTGTCCACAGGTGGAGCAGATTTCCTTCTTGTGTGACGACCTTCAGGGTATCCTTCACTTGATGCTTTCAGCTGTTTGCCGGCCTGTGCTGATGCTGCTGTCGGATAAACCCGCTCACTGCTCTCCAAAGACAGGTCTTCTTTTGTGCTTCCCGTTTTCATAAGGACGAGGAAGTTTTCTTGGATCAATGTTTGTAACAGACAAACCTGGCCAGTGCTGAGGTAGCACGTCATGTCACTGGTGAAGTTAACTTCGATGGAATGACCACAGACCATCACAGGCTATGGAGATTGGAGCAAGTAAAAAAGTTAATGGCTTGAAATGGTGACCATACTTGTCTGGTTCTTAGAGAGTGCCTAGTTCCCAAATATTTATCATATATTTGAGCAAATGAGTGACAACAGAAATTATACGGTGAACATAAACACACTGTCTGAATTAAACTACTGTCAAAGTAATCCTATCCTTTAAAAGGTACCAAAAGTAGAAATAACCAAAGATCGTATAGTGCCGAAGGCGCAAGATGGATAACTCTGCCCAAAAGGTGTAATTACCATGGGCGCCATTTGAGCAAGCGATACGCCTGCGCAGTTTACGGTAATGCTTCGGCGCAGGCTCACCAGGTGCACGTGCCTGCTGCGGCGCCTGCGCCTGTGCGTTAATGTGCATCGCGCAGGTGTATTGCTTGCTCAAATTGCACCCATGGTAATTACAACGTTTTACGTGTATTCACGGTGAAGTTTGCCATCTTGTGCCGCTACGCGGCGCTATACGATCTTTGGAAATAACTTACTGTGGATCTGTGCTTGTCTGAAGCACCATGTGCTTTATCTACAATAATGGCTGGAGCTGCAACAAACCTGATGTCAATACCCACAATAACTGGCAGAAGAGACACCTCCCTTGGGGTGGGGCTGTAGTTTGGAAAGATTAAATCCACATTTAAAGTTTTCTCAGAAAAATCATGCAGTTGCGATGACAAACAAGATTTACACTGCAGATACTTCAAAGTACTTTGAAATAAGAAATTTTAAAATTGCAGATTTACCCTCGTATTGTGTTGGTGTTCCACTCAAGAGCTGGATTCTGGGCTTGTGGCATTCCATCAATCTCATGATCACCTCTCCCTTTGCCTTGGTCACAGCATGCTTGGATCTCATCCCACAAACCAACAGACACACGAAGGTTATTGATGTCCAGTTGGTACTGGCGATCTTCAACCTCTGACCCGGGGACTTGAGTGTGACCAGCTAGGACAGCACATCTATAAGAAAAAAAAAACAAGCAATGCTGTAACATGGAGCTACATAGAGTTTGGCATGACAAAATAGAGTGCGATTTGAATCTCTTGTGAGGTTTAACGTCAATGGTTGAATAACACGCACCTAAATATTTCCTTTTTGAGTACAAGTCGCTGCAGTGGGTTATCAGCATGTGGCCGTAGGCAAATAGAGTTGACCTGAAGTAGGAAAGTGTCCAGGGTTTCCATGGTGATGCCAACCTCACCGTCATTGCCTCCTGTCTCCCCTAGCAACACAGGTTCTTTAGTAGGAGCAAAGATGCGGACCTCCTTACAGTCAAGGTAGACCAGAGGGAGACCACGACTTGACAAGCATTCTTGATTTGATGACGAAGAAGATTTCTGACGTGGAGTTCTCTTTTGAAGGGAATCAGACGGAGAAAGGATGCTAGTAGTTGAGACTGTTCGGTGGTACTGGACTGGTCGTTGTTTCTGTCCGAGAAAATCTGCCGTCGGTAGGCCAGCCTTTAAAATACTGACAGTGCTGAATATATCAAGGACAGACAGATACATCGGGCACCATAATAAGACATCAAAAGGCTGAATGGTGACAACAATTTCATGAATGTAGCGCTGCTGTGGCAATGGCACTGCTTGGTCCAAAAATTTCTTGGATGACTCTGCCTGCTTGCCAGACAACTTTTGAGCCAGAGATTTCCCCTGAGCCATGGTCCAGGTTGCTGACAGGAACCCGTGGGATTTGGCGTCATTGGGCTTGCCAGTGCGAGGGGGTACAAATGGGTTGAACGGTCTGGGTGAGGCATGACTGTCAGGACGCACACCACGGATGCAAGTGTTGTGGGTGATGGTATCAGCACATGAGAAAAGCACTCCACAGAATGGACCACGCTGCCAGCTGCCATTACTGTGGTTGAAATCAAAGTGAAGAGGTTAGTCTGGTATACGCGGAAAATGATTCGAAAAGGGTTTTAAAATTCACCATCTGGAAAATTCCACAAGACAATCATCTAACAGTCTATGTCAGTCCCGTATTGAAAAGAGTTCACTTTCTTAAAACATACTTACTTTTTAGTATAATGGTTAACATTTAGTGATCCAATTTTGCAAGTAACTTTGGAGTACACATCCTGGAAATCCAGACTTGAGGTCAGATCTTCAACCTCACAACTGAGCTTTATAGGTGGAGCACCCCCATACAATCTGAAGCAGAACTTCTGCAGTGTCCACTGCAGCCACAATGAAAACTTCAACGAGCCACTCTCTTCCTGATCAGGGGGTGCCACTCCTGGAGGGGACGTGGGAACTTCGGCCGGGGAGGACAGGGACAGAGTTGTTGTGTCCTGGTTATCCGGTTGACCAGACGAAGCAACACTACTGAGAACCCTTGCAGCAGACTTTGATGGCGACGGTGGATTAACAGGAAAGCTAGCAACTTGGGATGAGACTCCATAACTTGAGTTAAACACTTCAACCAGTTTAGATTGGTTGCTGAAGGCTTGGTTCAAGAGTTTACAGACCAGTGTCACCTTCGAAAACAAAACAAATAAACAGTCTCTCAAAGATCATTGGTTGAAAAAGCTTCATAGCAACATTACTTGGATAAAAAAAAAAATGCTGATGTAAAATTACGAATATGGAAAAAGAAAGAGTTCTCCTGACTGAAGATGTTTATTACTTCTCACCTGTGGTTTGGAGCAAACCATTTGGATTTCTTGCATATCTGCATGAACACACAACCCAAGGCCTGGTCTACCACTGGCTGGTCTCTCAGCATGGCTGGATGTCACGCCGACTGTGGCTGACAGGATAAGAGGCTTCAGAAGATAGTATGGTCCCTCGCTAGGATGGATGGTGTACATGCTGAAATGGGATACCTTCACACTCCATGGCAGTTTTTCACCTGAATTTAGTTCAGAGAAGGGGAACATCTGTAACTTGGAAAGTTTGAAATTTTCTAATAGGAATATTAACTATATCCCTATAGTGTGGCCTAGTGGTTGGGGTTTGTAATGTCTGATCATAGGGTCAGGGGTTCAAATCCAGCTGGTGGCAGCATGTTGCGATCTTGGGCAAGTCACTTTACCCCTATGTGCCTCTCTCCACCCAGGAGTAAATGGGTACCTGTGAGGGCAGATTTGGTTTAGCCATTTGCACCTGATATGGCAGCATCAGCTAGTATACTCCCCAGGGAGCGGAGATGGTTTCAAGAATGATCAGTTGTGAGCCCACTGTGCAGGGATAACGATAATACAGCGCATTGAGCATCAGTTGTGATGGATATGTGCGCTATATAAATAACCACTATTATTATAATTACTGTTCTAAGTATGACCATGCTAGGGCCATATTAAGCATAACATGACACCATACTTTTTGCATTTTGGGATCTTGAATCTGTTATTCAAAAGAACCCAGGAAAGGCATGCAATTGGGACTTTGACAAAAACAAGAAAATTCCAATCTTTATAAGACTTTGTACAGTGTTTTTCAACCTTCAATGGCATGGGTGTGAAGTGAAAAATGAAGAAATCAGCTGATCTGAGGAAAAGTTGCATGCCTGTATCAAAATGATGACCATCATCTTATTTTAAAAGCAAACACCCTCTGAAGTGTGGCAGACCTGAAATCAGGATCAATGAAGGAGGTATGTGACTCACTTGCTGGCTTGATAGACCTTCATAAAGTCATCAACAACAGTATTTCCATGACAAAAAAAAATTTTGAATTGGTTCACCAAAGTATACAGATGTTTGTGCTCATACACCAACTCCTCAAATCATCTCTGGCTAAAGCAGATGATGAGGAATTTTTTCAACCTGTATCTGGGGGCAGATCTTTCCTGTCCAGTGGAATCTCCTGAAGTGGTAGAATCTTCTGATGGTTCAGGCTTAGCACCTTGACGACCGGTAGACTCACCACCACCATCTCTGCTGGGCTATTACCCAGCATCCCTTGCTGAACGCATTGTGGGATACTAGTCACACCAGGTCCAAATATAAGGTGGTCTGTCGGGAGTGCCACGAAGCAGCTCTTGATGTCCACCTTTTCAATGCAAAGACATCTTTCATTTGAAAATTCCACAAGAGAGTGTATTACGTTGGAGATTCTCCAATCACATTTATTGTATTTAGCTTTCATTTTTCATTTCTGTGTTTTTCTTCTACACAGCTCCAGGTGCTTCTAAACTTTCTATAAACTCGCATAACACACATCACACTCTACAAAGGATGTCTAACATATCAACTGCATTTTTCAAGCCTTGAGGACATTGTAAGCCTGCAACAAACCACTCACTTGGACGGTGAGTTGTTTCAAGACAAGCCACATCTTCTCCAATAAATCTTCTTGCATTCTAGTCTCTCTATGTCAGTACCCTCTGATACTTTGGTAACATCTAAGCTTTGGGGTTGCGGCACCACTGGGTTGGCTGTCTGCTGTGATATGGTGGAGGACTGTTGTTGGAGGGGTGGCGACGATTTTGTTTTGTCCAACAAACATGTTTTGATTCTCTGAACACTGCTTGAACCTAAGAATTAAAAAAAACGAGCCTGATTTTTAGTTTCAAATATTGAAGTTAAACCCTACTGCGTAATATTACATTTGCACAGGGCAAAAATCTTGTAATAATTTAACTTCAATCTAATATGAAACAATCCCCCTTACGTTAACATTTATATGTTACATACACATTGAAGGACACGGCAGATATGTTCTACCTTCAGATGAAAGTTGCTTGGTCATAGATCTTCGATTCTTCTGTGACCTTGATTCCTCTGTGACCTTTGACCTTGCTTGACCTCTGGGCCGGTACAGCAACCACGTGTAAATGATTGGGTCAATGCAAATGGCACTTCCTTGGACATCAAATAGAAAAACTCCACAAGATACTGAGAGGAAAAAACAGGAAATGATTTTGTTATGTGACAGCAGCCATTTTAAATAAGTGGGTGGACCTACTTGGCAAAATTTATAGCCGTTGTAACAGACAGAATTTTATTCGTAACAACAAACCTTCTGTGGTCTCCTCTGAATCAGATATTCTTGGGATCTGTACTGTGAAGGTTATCAAGTCCACAACATCAAGATGGGATTGACTTGGCTGCTGTTTCATGAAGCTTTTGTGGTGGTGCAGATCTGATGTGTCCACTGGACCATGAAAAAGTGGTGTATCACTGGCTCTCCCTTGGTCTACCAACAAAAATTAAATTTGGAATGTTTTTGACATTTTTGCACTCATTTTCCTGCATGACTAAATCATTCATTAAAAAAATGGACTGAAACTTACCTAATGATTGTACTGTGACTTGTGCTTGGCTGAGGGTACCTGATATAGCTTGAGATAGACTCGTCTGGACAAATTTAACCTCCAAGCTATTGAGTGAGGCTTGCAGTACAGGCTGACCTGAAGGAAAGGCTTTCACTAGAAAACAGAATGAAACAAAACAATGAATATTAAATTAGGATAATTCCACACATCTAATGGGAACATAGTATTAGGTACAGTAACATGTACACTAATAGCCAGAATATTAGACACAGTCCATTTCAATGTAATGTTAGATATTGGAGTGAACTTGATATGAAATTAAATGAGTGTTATACTGTGGTTTCCTTTGCTAAAAATTTGAAGAAAACAATTATTATATCTTATTGTGCGATTGAAATGTAACCGAGTCTATCACACTGTGCCAGGTCTCACTTTGACATTATTGTCCTGTTGTAGTCAAGTATCTTTGTCCAAGTACAGAGTACTGCAGAGTACTTAAATTTCCAAGTACCTGAAAGTGTGAGTACTTTACCAGCCGAGTACATAAACATAAGTGTTATTTATCAGACACAGCCCGGTCATCCTTATACGTACCAGAAGGCTTAAAGACGTCCTCCACTAGGCTAGTTCCAGAGAGTCTAGCCGCCTCTATCTCTGGCTGCTTGCTGGTCCAGCTGTTGCAGATATGTAGCATCAACAAACACTGGGCTTTGGTGGCATTGCAGGAAAAACTGGGAAGCTCCAGCATCAGCTCTGAATGAGCAAGGCTTTTCTCTTTCCTGTAACATGCCAAAAAAGTGGTCTTGTCTTAAATGAACTCTTGGATTAAACCAACATCCTACCGTAGTTTCTTTGAAAAAGATTTTGTCTTATCCCAATGTGGCTGATTGAAGACACTCTAACAGTGAAGGATATCACTGGGTGCTGAAAACTTGTTTTAGTGTAGATGTTTCCTGAGCATATGAAAATAAGAAATATTTGCTTAGTATGTAAAATATTACTTTAATAGCATGTGAAATCTTCCTCAGCAAACACAGGTTACCAGCCAAAATATTATATGGTATATTGCTCGTGACTGGTTTCCAACTTTATTTATGCTAAGCACATAGACTAGGCAAACTTGAATTTTGGCCCAATAGTTGTTCAGGATACAAAGTGAACAGTTGCTCGATCTATTTTAGTCTAGTTTTTAGATTAAAAGTTCACTGAGCTCACCAGTACATGGGAAGTACCAATTCCTTGTGATAAAGGGCTGCACTCCAAGAGGGCATGATGGGAAGAATGGGAGGTGAAAGGTCACTGCTGGGGTCAATGAAAGTCAAGCCAAACTGGCAGCCAAATATCTAAAAAATGAAAATATAAAAATTCCCTTAGTTAGGACAACTTTCACAACTGTACATATTTTACGCAAAATGTAGGATAATTCAAGAAATAACGGAAAAAAAGTTTCATTTATAACAGAGTCCATCCAAAGGATATTGACATTTATGCATACAAATGAAAAATACAATCCCTTTTGCACTAAAACCTCTTTAAAGTGCAATTTATTCCAAACAAGTTACTTGGAAAGCCTCACCTTGTAGTAGCTATGTGTATAGCAGTGGTACATGAGTTTGGAGCTACGATTGTTGATCAGTAATTTACTGACAGGCTTAATGAGTCTCCTCCCATACATGGGCTCGGAACGCTGGAAGTCAATTCGGTCAGTTTGAAGGCACAATGTTGGAACACAACCAGTTTCCTGGAAGCTTGTGACCTGAGACAAAAGACAGCATATTTTTCATGTTATCCCTAACCATCCAAAATCCATTGAAATCCATCTCCACGTTTTGGTGGATGTTGAGGGGCTTGGTCCAGTCGGCCTGCCGTGACCAAATGTTGGACTATAGCAGGCTTGGTCCAGGAGGTCTAGAGCACCGCTGGGCATTTAATGCATGTGTTGTCATGGCAACCATACTGATGACATCATGAAAGCCAAGTGGAGTAGGTCCGTCAAAAAAAAAGACCACCACGCCAGTGGTGGACATTTTTGGCAATGTGGATTGCACACAGAGTGTTGGATTTTGATGGATATCGTCTAATGCCTACTTAAAGACACTAGGGAGTTAGGGTGAAGGAGTTCTGTGTGACAGCAGCAGTTTTTGCAAAGAATAGCACCAATACCAGAAGTCAATATTATCTACCGCCTACCAACATCACCAATTCTGTTAACAGTTTTGTACCAGTCTAGATGCCGACTTGTTCTTGGATGAGCTATAGTAAGGATGTTGAGCTGATGGGAACAGTATCTGTAGGTTGAGTAGGGTCAGATGGGTCATTCGGGAGGGAACCCACTCTTCAAGAGTTGTGACCTGCTCTGGAGTGGCTGAAGGTCGATTTTCATCTACAACCTCTGTAGCAATCAATCATAAAAAGGAATCCTTCAATGCCTAATGTGAACAAGTGTAGTGCGAAGCATTCAAACTGAGGATTTATTGAAAAAGAGTCATCAAAATGTTGTTCCTCTGCAAAAAAAAATTGTCACCTGGATGTGGGATGCTATATGGTTCGTATTCATGGTCTGAGGCACATTCCATCAACTTCATTAACCTGTGGACCACATCACTGTCAACTATCACTTTGGTTGGGTTGAAAAGGAATCGTTTGCAGGATGTCTCTTTCATGTCAAAAACTGGATCAGAATCATCGGCGCTATGGTGAGATGATCGGCTTGATGAATCACCGGCTGATTGGATGATAAAGAATTTAAAGACAGTTTTCAAAACCTATGTGTAAATGAAGTTTGGGGCTTTGTAATTCATTTGACCGGTTCTTCTTTCAAGTTAATGCTCATAATGTCCGGGCAGCCATTTTGTCAGCCATCTTCTTGATGGTGGATCTAAGGCTGTGCTGAATATCTGAATATTCGATCTATTATCAAATATTTGAATATTATTTTCCGAATTGGAATATTCGAATGCAAAATTCATGAAAAGGAAGGGAGAATTTTCTTCTGTTTTAAATGAGAAAAAATGCATCATGGAGGCTTCTTTCAGACAGATTCAAAAGAAAAGCAACAGAAATCTTACGACGCAAAAAGTAAATTATTCGTTCAAAAATTTAAAAGGAATAGGAATTTTCAAAAGGGAAAGAAGTACTGTTCATCTCTTAAATCTTGCTAAATCTTGGCCGGAGATACTCCTACAAGCGAGAAGCTATTACAGTGATTATAATGTAGAATTATGTATGTTACTGCAACTGATTTTGTATATGGTTTAATCATCAACAATCTGCCGCTTGGTAAGACCGACTATTTGGATATTTAATTGAATTGAAGGTTGAACATTGAATATTCGAATGGTGAATTATTCGTATTGACTCAGCCTTAGGTGGATCTACGTACTACAGCCAAGCTGGGCCATCTGGAGGTGAGAACGGGGGGGGGGGGGGTCATCAATTATGTGGTTATGTATCTCTCTGCACTCACATGGAGGGAGGGTACCAACTCCCACTGGTGACATGTTAGCATGCTCATAGTGTAAAACGCAATAAAGAGAATGAAGGAAAGCACCACCGGCAATCAATGCATACACTGCCCAAGGGTGTGCGGCTCCTGAACTGTCCTTATTAGTTACACAAAGACCTCCACAAGCACTCAAAGAGTGTGCACAGAGACTGACTGCACTGTGTGTGATGGTCAAGAGATGATAGGGTCGCACTATTGAGTCACCGTGAAAAAAAAGGCACACAAGTTGGAAAAACAACCCACCGTTTTTGTTCCCCGTCAGCTCAGCTACAAAGAGGTAGTCTGTCCAGACCGCACCAAACCTCTGCGTGGCTAATGCCTCACTGAACGTATCCTGGTGAGTGTCCCAGTCCAGAATGAAGGATGCCCTCTGCTGTCTGTTCTCTGGACAGTTCCCGTCAAACAGGGAGTTGGTGAGGTAGTTTGTTTGCTTCTGGTTGTAGTCAGGAGAGCCGCAGTGTAAGAAGAGAGGACCCTGGTTGGAAAAAATAAAGTATAATTGCATTGAATGTCCAAATATTGATACACTGGGAAAAATACTTCACAAGGTCACACAGCTCTCGTACATACGTATATATACAAACTGAAATGACCTTTTCAACAATTGGCCAGAACGAGCATTGTCTTTTTTGGAACATTTCCGTGTGTTCACATTGCAGGCCCCTGCACTTTAAACAAATTTTAGTGGTAGCCGCGAGGAAATCATGTCTCAAACCACGGTAGGTGGCTCTGTGAAGAGAAAAACAGGACCAGTGCAAGTTTTGTGGTCTAATTTGCAGTTTCCACGGGGGATGGAAGAAACAGAATTGTAGAGAGTTACAAACCAAATATTGGCCAGTGGTTGGATAGTTACATGTACCTGGTCAAGCATTCTTTGGTCATCTTCATCAGCGACCATCCCACACACACAGTCCCCCATCACCGATGCGGTGATATAACTGAAACCCATCTGATGTACAAAGAATTCCTCCCCCTTCATTAACACTTCAATGGCTGATCCGTTCAGTTCCATCTTGAGTAGTGGGTAGGTTTCCAACTTGGCAGAGGGGGTGGAGTAGACCGGATGGTCTCTCGAGATTTCTCTGGTCAGCTGGTCAGAAAGAACAACACAGCTGTTACTAACGAACGACATCCAGGAAAACTTATTCAACAGTAGTGCTTGCAGGAAAAGCCTGCATTGTTAGTTTGAAAAGGAAAAGTCCAAATAAAACCATACACCTACATGTCCGCTTAGTTTGGGAACACCCCCATTTACCAGTAACAGTTTTGAGATTCCTTCATTACCTTGAAGGTGATACGCCCTCTGTTGCAATACAGACCGACAGCCAGTATTGGGTCGGGCCGTTTTTCTCTCCGTTTGGATCCACTCATTCCATCTTCCTCCTCCTCATAGTACAAGAGATCTGGGACGTAGGACCATGCCCATGATGCCCAACCCTCAGAGCTGGAATCTTCGGCCTGGGAAGAGTCTGCAAACAGTGACCAGAATCAAACATGAAACTTCAGCTTCCCATGGAAATTTTCAATTAAGATATATGTAAGTCACATCTACACGTTCACTCAAACGTTGCCTGTTTCAATTCCTGAAAAAGATTCAACTTTAGGTCTTAAGTTCCATCCTGAAGAAGGGAACCCAATTCCTCTTTGTGAAGGACATCAAAGAAAGGACATGAGTTTATCTTGGGTGTGGTTTCTTGCGGTAGGAGAAGGGTACATGAATAGACAGGGTAGCATCTGACTGATACACTGTCCCAATGTTCATATCACTCTTTAAATTTAAGTTAAATGGAAGGCGGCCGGGTGCCCTCTAAATCTACCAATGGCATTTACATGTACCTGTTTTTGTGTCTCTTTTGACAACCTCCTCTGTTGCGGTCTGGTCCCCTGACTCTCCCGACTTGCTCCCTTGATCCAGTGTCCCGTAATACAATGCTAGGAGTAGCTGGAGTAGTCGAAGGAACATCGGCAGCTGTGTGTCTGACACAGACATGTCCAGCTCCTCACAGTAAACATTCATCTTGATGACAGACGGTCTCTTAGCATTCAGGCTGGCGTACGTCATAAGCATGCGCAGCGACACAGCACATCGATACACCATCGGCTCCTGGTAAATCTCAATCTTTCCGCTGGCATTCCTCTTATCCAAGCAGACTGTAATGTCGGAAAACTCACACACTCTTCTCAGTACCAGTTCTGGTAGGCTCAGCTCGGTGAAGGCTGACTGCCAGTCGGTGTTGACGGCAAAAGACTCGGCAGACTTGACATTCACTGACAGGACGATGTCATCCTCGACATACTTCAAAACCAGGTTTTTGACGACCAGCGTTACGTTATTAATGACCCTGTTCATCAGAGACTGCACATAACCAGGAGGTAAATCTCGATCCTGTTTCTCGTACTTCTGCTTTGCCTTACTTGCAGCCTCCGTCTTACTCACCAGGCTTGATTTTGAGGAGGTGCTGTCATGCTCATCGTAACCTGCATCGCGAAGTTTTACCGCACATTCGATTGTGTTAATTGTGATGACAACAGGTTCATAGCCCAACCGAGTCCATGGCACATGAATGCGTAACTCGTGGATGTGTCCGCTGACAAACGTCAAAGGGAGGTTAAGCTCTTGCTCCAAGACCTCAAGTCGTAGATCCAGTTTATTCAGCACCAGGTCACCACCCCAAAGAGACAGCTGGAGGTCCTCCGGCTTAAGATTCTTGATGTACTTATCCACATAGCCAAGGAGAAAGGGAGAGATGTATGACTCAAGCATGATGGCAGTTGAGTTAGTTGACCTCTGACACAAAACACTTCACTCAGTCTCCAGGTACAGGTATCCTGAGAAACAAAGTTGTGTAACATCTTTGATATTCTTTGACGTTATTTAATTTTGCTTTATCCACACTTTAGAAAGTTTGGACCAATTGAAATTAATCATCAACATACTATGCACAAAATTGAAATGAATCGCATTTGCGTACCGTTAGTCAAGGGGATGGTGTGTCTGGATTTGCCATCATTTGGTGAGAAATTTTTCAGTGTTCGTCTGAAAAAAGTCCTTGTCTTGATTCACTTTTATTGAGCAAAAAAATAAACTTCCACTTTCAGAGGAAAAACATGTGATTTTGTTTTTATAATGAAAATTTCACGTACATGGTAAGATTAAGCATGAAAACTGGGGTTGGCAGGTAGCCTAACAGTAATACATGTGGTAATACAGAAGCTAGAATTCAGTTGGCCGTAGAAAATTTGATATGGTACAAAGGCTACAAATTTTTTTCTACATGTTCATGATGTTCAGCATGATCTATTAAGGGCAACTTTATTGAGTGTACTCTATAATGAGTTGATTTGCCAGAAAGAGTTCCAAATTTGGACGTCACTTGACGCCCTGTGCACAAACCCGATGAGAGTAGTCTGAAGAATTCTAAGTGCTTTCAAATTAAAGTGAATAGTTTAACATTTTTGATGCTAACTTTGACTTTTTGAGACAATTTATTTTATAATGATGATTATCTACTACAAGGGAAAATAATTAGTGATATCTGTACATGTACATGTATGTACATGTATGTAGAATTATTACTAATTTGCCTTTGAATGAAATCCATTCATACGATAATTAACTCAGGAGGGAGAACAATCAAATTGCGCAAGAGTCAAAATTGTAATTAACAGGGACACTGTCACTATCAATGACTGGTGCAGGGTTTTTACATTGGCAGAGTATATAGACCAGGCGCCAGCAAATTTATACTAAATGATACTTTGCTGGACACACATGCATAATAGCTGCTTTTGGGGAGGATTTAGAAATTCTAACCATGACAAATTTTAATCTTGTTCTGCACCAACATAGTCGTTGAACTTCACATTCAAGATGTGGGAATCAGATCATTCTACGATTTGGGACGTTTTTCTCTCAAAAATATTGATTTTTCTGATTCACGCCACGAATCAGAAAAAGAGAATGTAAAACTCTGTAATAAAGTGTTGGATTCAATTTAGAATTAACAAAAGAATAATTTTCTTGGTTTTGGGGGACGAACAAAAAGGGGGATGGTCATTGGAATTCAAACCCAGCTGGGAGCATGTCGTGATTTAAAGATGTGTACACTATCCGCCAGACCACAGATATTCCAACGGAACAAAACGTGATGTTCGACTTCCGCCGCACTCCGATAACGTGGGAGTGTGGTGAACGTTGAACACCACAGTTTTACTACTGATGTGCTAGTCCCTAACATTACTATACTACAATTTAGAGGTAATTTTATCCTTTATACGCTCACTCATGCCAAAGAGGGCACTGTCTACTTGTAGCGATCAGAATCAGCTAAATACCATTAAGGTAATTTTGCTGGCATCGGCCATATATAGGCCTACACTATCTTTCACATTATTCATGTTGGTGCAGCAAACATGTAAATGTTATTGACAGACTGCTAATAAAAGACATGAACATGATGACAGAAGGCCCCCAAAAGAACGACTGTGTTAAGCTCCAACTACAGCATCAATCCCAATTATAGTTGGGACCAGCATGGCCGGCCCAACTAGAACTACAGACTGTAGTTGGGCTGGCCCAACTAAAGCACAGAGGTTTAGTTTCATGAGTGTGTGCATGTTCCATAGCATGGATTAAGTCATTTTTTTACGTCAACATCTTGTGTACCCCCAGAACTGTAGGGTGCGACGTCCGCTCCGCTAGCCTCCCGATCCCACGAGAGCGGAGCGGACGTCGGACGGACAGTTACATGTTTGGGGTACATCTTGTGTTTGTAGAATTTTCTTATAGATGAAGTGCCACTTTATGTCAGGCAAGGTGTGAAGTGCATGAACTTAGAAAAGGTTGAGCAATTTCCTTTTAAGATTGGAGTTGGGTCAGCCCAACTGCATCCGGCGTAGCAATCGTGTGGCCGTGGGAATCGCGACAAGCAGATCATGATCATCAGATGATCGACACGAAGACAGTGATTTTTATCGAAAACTACAATAAATCAGTAATGATGATCACAGTCGATTCTTACAATCAATTTGCAACAGATATGCTTTTTCTGAAATAATTTTAAGACAAAAGGCATGAAAAAATCCAACATTTAGGCCTACGTTATTTAGTCAGCTAACAGTGTCCAACTAAGTTCCACGTAGCTTGTTCAATGGAGGTCGCCATCTTCCACTTGTCAACATGTTATTTACGGAAAGGCCGTAACATTTTATGATGAGGGTTGGAGAAACTGATCAACCGTGTAAATAATCAAAAGCAAAGGTATCATATCTCTTTTCCAAAACACAAAGCAACAGTTAGACCAATTAACAGGGTTTTTTATCTTTACCGATTTAGTTGTGGGGATGTAGTTTGAAAATTTTGAGGGATGCACGAACGATGACCATGAATATAAACATATATTGGAACCTTTCAGAAAATTGGACCAGTCTAATCGGCTGTTACTTTGGCAAAGGGGTATACCGTACAAGGCATGTTGGATTACCTTGTGGAATAAGAAAAGCATCGTTAATGTCAAAGGTCAGCTCGATTTAGTATTTTATACACGCTTCATTGATTTGCGATAGGCCCTACGTGCGCTTGATGGTTGAATGGAGTCTTCATTCACTGCTCACGTTGTGTTTGTGGTTTTGCCATTAACGTAGGTAAGATATTCGTGACTTTTGCTCCGTTTCATGATGAAAGTGAACCGAAAGAGGTTCTTTTTAAAGTAAGGTACGCTGTCAAAACATTACCCTTTACAGAATTTCGGTAAAACATGTGAAATGAATAAAGACCATGACGGAAAAAAGCACTAATGAATGTAACGATACAATGTCACTGTGTCACAGTCGAGTCACTGTCATGACTGAACAGCACGTTAGCAGGCCATGGGATAGGAAAATGTTTTCCCACCTCCATGTGTAGGCTAAGTGTTGACTATTGTTTTGAGGTTGACATTCACATGACAAAGAGGGCACGTCGTACATTAATCATTATGTCGAATGTATTTTGCAGTATGTGCTGCCTGACTGTTGACAATATGTCAGTTGTTTACGCGATTTGCGAGGTTGAGGCAAGACCTTTCATTTCGTACACAGTACCTGGGCATATCAGGTGACAGGGTACAGTGCTATACCACAGACAGACCGACTCAGTCATGTCAGTACACCGAATCTGAAAGGGAACGGTGGTGATGTTCTGCGCATATTTTGAAAGTGCACAAATCTCAAAGTTGAGCAACTTTTAGAAGGTTGTGCATATTTCAAATCTGCGCAGATAACATTGAGCGCACTCTTTGCACGTGTGCAATTTTTGATAAACTCTGCGATTTTTAAAGGGAGTCACGATGGTTGGCGTTTGACTGTGCCTGGCCGTGGCGGGCAGCCCATGGCACAGGGATTCCCATTCCCCTGGAAGGCTAGTCTCCAGCTACATGTGCATGTATCTGTCACCAGTCAAGCTGGGAAACTGTCGCCTTACGTAAGGGCCAGAATTCCAGCACAAACTAGCAGTTTTGGAGGTTATTTCATAATCCTTAATTTCCCTGATTGTTATTAGTTTTGTCAGGCATCCTACTTTTAATTTTATTGCAGATGCATTTCTAAGAAATACATGTATGGCTCTAAGAATTT